CAAAGTTTCATGAGGTCTTTAATTGGTCCAAGTGCAGAGCAAATATCAGCCAATAACAAGTACAGTAAGTTTAAGTCTATCATCATTTCTATGGTATGTTAATTTGTGTTAAAATAGCAGACCTTGTTTTTTAGATTTATGTAGATATAATGAAAGGGAAGGAAAAGGCAAATGTATATGAGAACTTCAAGATATCTAATTTAAAATAGCTCATTATTATTAATTGTCTAGTCAAGGTGCTTATTCATGGTGTGGTCACATAATCTTATCTTAAACAGTCATTCGTTTCCAACTTCAATCAAGGTCAAACTTAAAAGTCACCTGTCCTGAGGTATTCCTTGGCCTACTCAATTGGATGTGATCTCCTCTTTGGAACTCCCATATTGCTCTGTTTCTAGCTGTCTGATGCTGTATGTCACAATTTGCTTTGCAATGCTATTAAAATACATAGCAGCTTACCTTATCTATTTATAAGCAATGGGAAAGCAGAAAACTGTCCTTTATTCATCGTGGTATCTACCACAATACATGGCCTAGTAACTTCACCATTGTAGGTGCTAAATAAATATTTATGGAAAAATGAAAAATTCAAACAAATGTCTAGTATCCTAAATATTATCTAGTTCATGCGTGTTCAAATGTAAGCTTCTCAAGTGTAGAAACACTATCCCAGGACTTAGGTCTATGTACTAGGCACTTACTGTTTATCAAGCTTACTGTTGACTATGTGTGCACAATACTAGATGGCAAAGTCATTCCATGATCAATTCTTAGTCTTTTGACATGTGCCAGATTATCATGAATTAGGATAGCCACTGACCAGCAGTCTGCTAGTGTTTTTAAAAACAAACTTTACTTGTTTATTTTTTAATTTAAAAATTGAAAATAATTTTCAGCTTTAAAAAGATTGAATAAATTCATATCATCTGAGGAAAACTTACATCTTAAATGTAGAAGTAATACTAATATCATACCCCATAATAAGTTTTTTTCCATTTCAAACAAAATTAACAGTGTAATATTATTAATAGCACAATGGTATTTCTTATTTACTGCTACATTTTAGAGATTTGGCAGAATTATAAAAAAAGTAAGCACTATTATTTTTTTAACAAGAGTTTCCTATAGAACACTCAGGAGAGCAATAGTTAATTAATTCTGATGAATACAGATGTTGTTATAGAGATCCTTATATAATGCAACTTTAAAAAGAATATATACTACATATCAGTTTATGTACATATTTCTAGATCTATAGTTGGATAACTATATTTAAAACTATAAGAATACATACATATCTAATTAATAGTGAATACTATTATCTTTAATTTATAAGGGACTTTTAGGTCCTGATCCAAAATATTTCCAAATAGAAAATCCTATTGTATACATACATTCATTATCAGCAATTTTAACTCCAGGTTTATATACAGCAGGTTTCAAATAGGATGATACAGGCATCATTGTTCTATGAGAAAATTTGAAAGTTTAAGTTTTTCACAACTTCTACAACTGATTCTATGTTGATTAAATTACTTTCCAGAAGCTGATAACATCCCTTTAAAGATAAATTAATTCAAGAGCTCAGGGTCTTACTCATTCATTCTTAGACACTAGCCAACAATTTACATTGATATTGCCCCAAGTTAAAAGGGGTAACTGGTGCAAAAGTTACTCACATGACCTACCGAATCATCTTATTCATCATATTACCAGTTAGTTAATGACCTCCCAGTAACTACTCTGTATAGATCAGTGAGCTTCTAATCAGAGTAGCTTTGACTGGCCTTTCTGCCTAATTTCCTGGGTTCTGATAACTCCCCTGGTTCCATCTACCTTGTTTAAATCCTAATTATATTTATAATGTGTACAGGTTATTTGTTACTGTGATCCTGCTTAGTTATTCTTCTTCTGACTCACTTTCTTGAGAATCATTTTTTGCTGTAGGTCAGTGGCTATTGACTATCTTTTCTACGACCAAGGTAAGGAAGGACAAAAGAGAAATTGGGTAGTTGATTCTACAATGGGCTTTGTGTTTTCCTGGGATGTGTAACTAAAAGATGACACTCCTTTAAAGTAAAATATTACTGTCCAAAATTTTTTGAAGGAAGAGGAAATGCAGTACAATTTGTGGTAGTAGAAACAATGTGGTTGAATCTAAAATTCAGACTGACTCCAATGTAGTGGGCGGTCTTCTCAATTAGACACTAATGGACATAAAGGAAAACGTCTTAATTCTTTTCATGATGGAAATGGTGCTTAATAGAGTTATGTTGTACATAGTGGATGCTAAGTAAACACTTGTTACTCATCATTTTAAAAGTTAGTTTAATTTTTCCCACTTTAAAAAAAAACAGAAATGAATCATCTGGGGAATGTAAGAAAGTTCAGGATAGTGCATGACTACACGTATATATATGTCTGTTTACATACACATATATATTGGAACCACTGAAATTAGACAGGTTTTCAAATGGCCCTAAAATGTAATGAGGAGATAACATCCATAGACAATGGGGATTGCTTAGCGTTTTAAAATTTTAAATGAGATGCCTTCAGTGATAAAGCAACATGAAACTAAAATAGCAAAAAATATTTACATTTGTTTTATTTAAATGTAAAAAAAGTACATCAGATTGCACTGTGTCACTAAAAATTTTCTATGATAATACTTGCACAGAAAATACTGAATTCATTAAATTATAAAAACCACTGCCTTGTTAGTAAGAAGATGAAGGAAATGCCATCCTGAGTATTCATTGGACACAGGAAAAACTTCTTTCCCTCCATAAAAAACACTACTTATATATAATTTTAAAGGGGGAGGCTTCTTTTATTAATGAATAACTAAGAAAGATTAGTTGGTCCTTCCTTTGCTCATTCAACTAGCATTTATTGAACAATTAATGTGTGAGGTGCATTGCTAGGCTCTGACATTAAGATAACAAATACAAGATATTATGTGAGTAATATTCTGAGGAGTTAATTCAAGGTTACACAATGAGTAATTACAGACTGCAGTGCCTGAGAGAGAAAAGGCCCTAAATGGATGATGAATGAATGAATGGATGAATGAATGACATTTTCCTGACAGCCAGCGATGGATTTTTTTCACAACAGCATGAACACTTACACTGTTGCTGAATATCATGGATGCGTATTTGTACCTATTGATAGATTGATAAATTATCATTTTTTCTTATGTTTTTTTCCCTCTCCTAACATTCATTCACTCATTTAACATTCATTTATTCCTTTTATTTTGGTCAGACTGTAGTCAACCTCGCGCTGCTCTCTCTCTAGCCCCAGGCCAATCCATCCCATCTACACACAAACATACACCTAACACCTAATATCGTGCTCTGCACTAAATTAGCATTTTGTGAATCTTTGCTCCAGTGACTTCTTACAACTGGAGATACTGCAAATGCGGCCAGGGGGAAGGAAGGGAATGCTAAGCTGTTTCTTTAACGCACCACCTTGTAGTGTGGCGGCCAAAGGCAGAATACCCAAGATGGGCCATGCAATGGCAGGTAGATTATTTTGAACTGAAAATAATCAAGACCCAAAAGACTCAGGTAGAAACTTTGACCTCCCCACCAACTGCCTAAAAAAAATTTAGATAGAGGACCTGTACCAGGAAAAGAGCTATTTATAGAAATTCATTTTTGCCTAAGAAACTTACCTGCACAACAGGGCAACCTTCATTTTCCAAACATCTCCTCTCACCTTCCTGCTAGTGGCTTTCCTCCCTTACCACTCTCCTTAGCTCAGGATGACATATAAACCTCATTTTGCCTGTCTGTGGAATTTCCATGTCTGTGTAGATTCCCTATAGGTAGGAAATTAATCTGATTTTCTTCTGTTAATCTGTCTTACAGAAATTTAATTCTTAGTCCGACTAGAAGAACTTTGGACAAAGAGAAATTTCTTCCTCTATGACAGTAGCCAGGGGATATTTCAAACAGTAGGAAATGTTTGTCCAATAAGATTTGTCTTTTTTTTTAAATTGAAAATCAAAGGTAAAGAAACTACTTTAAAATGAAAGAAAAAAAAGCACAAAGGATTTCTTTTCTTAAATTTACCCCTTTACTTCTCTGAAAAGCACAATAAGCAAACCTATAATGAAATGTAGATCTGTTTAATAATTATCTGCTTTTCGACAAGTGTTATAATGAATACTGTACAATTTTATGAAACATAAATACTTTATACATAATGAGAGTAATGTAATATGTGTACTTTTCTTCATCTCAGAGAGCCAGAGAAATTGTGAAATATAACCAGAGACGATGTTTTAAAAATGAAATATTATTTTAGGAGAAATTTGATACTGACTGTGTGTAACCTTTGTTGTGTTTACTTACAACATTTTCCTCTTTTGTATCTAGTTTTAGCTCCCACCATCAGAATTCCCAGGCTGCAACATCAAACTTTAATCCTCAGAGTAAAAAGTGAAAAAAATAAAAGTTCTTTGTCAAACTGTGGTGACTTTTAAAAAGCAATGTCTTTGTAGACTTTCTGTAATTTTCTGATATTGTAATTTTCTTATAAAAATTGATCCACAGCTGACACCAAGACAAATGAAATCTTCCGAATAGACCTTAGGTATGTTAAGTAGATAGTTCTTAAAAAGAATAACAGGAGGAACTTCAGGGAACTCAAAGGATACTAAAAGACAGCTAATATATTTAAATAAGGTTCCTTTGTTAGGATAATTTCCTGTCTTATGAAAATACACATCTTTTCACAGAGGATGCCAATCACACACAAAAGGATAAAATACATGATTTTTTTTCCCCTCTGGCAATGATAAATATCAAGTATTGCCTATTTTGCTATGATCCTGGAACAATGGCGAGATTCCATGTTCTCAAATATTCCCACGATTTATTTTTAAAGCTAGAATCTGGCAAAATTTGAGTTGGAAAGATAAATACAGCTTTGCTCAGCTGACAGACACGCAGGCACGCGCCACCCTCTCTTAATTCTAACAGCAGAGTTTCTTTTCCCTTGAGAAATCTGAAATGTAAAATCGCATTCCGGCTCAAAATTCTGCTGAGAGCCTCAGGCTATTCCATGGTCTCTGGCAAAGTCTTTCGACTTTGATCCAACACGATGGTTCAGTGCCTTTAAAAGAGAAACTAAAGCTCTGTGAACTTGGGGATAAAAATTCCTTGTTTCTGGAATTCAAGGTGTATGGATGTATGGTACTGCTCGCATTTGTCCTATGAGGCCACCTTGCAAACAAGAGCGCCAATCCAGGCGCGCAGCTGCCTCCGGGTCTGCGGCCAGCTGCGGCACCGCGCGCCAGGTGGACTGACCGAGTGGCGCCCGGTGGACCGCGCCCGGGGACCGCGCCAGAGCCCGGCTACGGCTGTGCACTGGCTGAGCACCCCGTGGGCTGCGGTTCCCCCGCCTCGGATGCCAGCCGGGCTGCACCCGCGGCTCGCCCGCAAGGGGAGCGCTAGGTCCCCGCAGACCGCCCTCCCGCTTGCTGCCGATCCAGCTCCAGTGCGGATTCCGGACACTCCTCCTGGATTCGGCCAGCGCCTGCCCCACCCCGGGTGAGTACTTGCCCCGCACGAAAGAATTCCGCTTGGTCCCTTCCCCGCTCTCCCTTCACGCCTGACAATTGCCTGTTCCTCCACCCCAAGCCCCCACTTTTCCAGCGGCTCTGCCTTTGGCTTCCCCACTCGCCCTCTCGGGAGCCCCTACTACACCCGGGACCAGGGACAGGGGTGCGGTTACCCGGCCCCGCGCGGACTCTTTGCCCGAGCCAGGAACGGCCTCCGCCCCTCCCTGCTGGCCCACCCCCGCGCGGAAGGGAGCGGCGGGGAGAGGCTGAACCCGGTACCTCGGGGCGCCCGGGCCGGTGCTGGTGCCTCGGCTCCCGGGAACGCGGTCGCTTCTGCGCCCGGGTGGCGGCGACTGCAGGGGGAGGACCTGGAGGTGGCGGTGGGGAAGAGGTGGGGGGTAGGGAGGAAGGAGCGGGGAGCAGCGGGGGTTTTAGAGGCGCCTCGGAAACACGTGACTACTCCCGGGACCCCGGAGACCCTGCTCTAGGGCGCCTGCTCCGCGACAGCCTCTCCCCGAGCCCGGGTTCGGGGCATCCCAGCCCCTACCTTGCTGTTTGGGGGCCCAGAGAGAAGCTGCAGGCCCTCGAGATGGCACCCCGTCACTCTGGCTTTTGGTTCCCGGCGGAGGCCAAGTTGACTTGCGGAGCAGGAAGATTTTTGCCGGTTCTGTCCCCAGCCTGGTGAAGTGAACTCGGAGGAGTCTTGAGCTGATGTGGGAGTGAGTGCAGGGGTACCTCTAAGAGCTTAGGCTCCATGAGAAAAAGCTTCAAGGCCCAGGTTTCCTCTTTGTTCGGAAAAAAAAAACAAAAACAAAAACAAAAAACAAAAACCCACCAAAAAACAAAACTGAACGTTGCTCTTTTTGCACCTTTTTGGAATGAGGAAGGGACAAGTGTAGGCAGGGAGGTTAATCTGAAGGGACGGGGGACACAAAGGGGTCAGAGATTTGATGCACCCCAAGAGAACAGGAAAAGGATTTATTCCCATTGCCAAGGAGAAGTAGTTGTGGGCGTGGGCAAGCAGCGTGGAGCTGAGGAGTGAGGTTGAGATGGAATCCACGTTTCCCAGGACTGTTGGGTAACATAAAGGAGACTGGGGGGTAAAAAGAGTTGTCATAGGTTTAAAAAAAAAAAGACAACAACCAAAAAACACCTCAAAATTTGGCCCTCTGTTTCTCCTCAACGTGATTTCCATCCCCAGTGTTTCCAAATCTGTATTGCAGGTTTGCCTTATTTTTGTTAGTCATTAGTTGGCAGGTATCTTAGGCTTCTCTGTGCTCTGTGTGTATCTGTGTATATCTGTGTGTGCGTGTAGGAGGCAGGGAGTGGGGAGAGAGACAGAGAGACAGAGAGACACTGGAGAGATTGGAGAAAGGTCCACATGTTCTTGACCATGGCCTTGCAGGCAAAAGATTGTGTTTGTTGTATATTTCAAAACTGAAAACGATCATGTGACAATTATAGCATCAAGTGTTTGGTGATGAGTGTAATCCAATGGGACTGGCACTCTAAAATGGAGAGGACTGTATCCCTTGGTAGCAATGCAACTTGTAAATCTAGTTTCAGGGGGCTGCAAACCCTACTGTTACCCCAGAAGTGGACAAAAATTCTTGTGTCTCTTCTCTGCTGAATTTTAATATTCGATACTCAGGGAATCTGTATAGACTGTCATTGTATCGGCTAGAAAGTCATCCGAGAGTTCTTAAATACCTTAAGTAAATCCAGTTCCTATTTCATTCTTCTCTGTTTATTTCTGGAATACTAGTACATTCTCACCCAAATGCTTGACAGAATAGGCAGTCTGAGCAGGCCCATTGGATCCTGCAGTCGGTGAGCTTAGGGATAGTATGTCAGGAAGGGGTGACCGGTGAGAAAACAAAGTTTGGTTCTTAGACTTTCTTAACATCAACATCAGCATGGTCAATCCTCTACACATATGCCACATAAATTTCTCTTCTTCCATCCCTTGCACATACCTACTTCAAATACGCTTAGTCGTTAAAACAACTTCCAAATGAACCCCATTGTGACTATCTTCTAAATACTAATCTATGCTACAAGCTTTTGTATGTTAAAAATACAAGATGGATTTTATTTCTCTTCCACAAATTTGTTTTTTCTTTTGATGATATCGACCCTTAGCTTTAAGTAACTGTTATTATTAGAGTATTAAAAATAAAAGGTCAACATGTCGTTGAGATGAAGATTTTAATTAACCCATCATTCCCTTCCCACTGCACACACAAACATGCAAGCCTCAAAAAGCCTTCTTTAAATACACATTCAATATACATGGAGTAAACAAATTATTAAAAAAAAATCCTTCTTTTGAAGATTTGGTCAACTTGAAAATTCCAACAATATGCTACATAAAGAGGAAGATATGAAGATCAGTGTGCTTTTATCTTCAAATTTCCCAGGAGGGATTCAAGACTAATCATCATCACTCTTTGGAGAACATAATAAGTAATTTTCCTATTTTATGGAGTAAATTCAAGCAGGTGGAGTACTACCTCTGGGAACACAAATAGTAATGTCCATCTCTGCTCTATGTATTTTTTCCTACTCACTATTTATAAAATGCTCATTTGGGAAATTAAGCTGGATTTTATGTGTGCTACAAAATTAAACTGGCTATTTTCCAGTTCTCATGGTTCTTCAGTTATGAAAGAAAGCATTTCTATAAAGGTGAAAGTTAAAATCACTTGGGACTCCTAAGACAAATTATTGAATAACAAAACACTCTCCAAACAATGCCTGGGGTAACATTTCTCTGAGGAACATGTCTGTTGTTTTTTGTCAAAGTTATTGCTGCATTTTAATAGCAGCTACCATTTGTGAAGGACAGTTACTAAAGTGCATTGACATAATCTGAAATGATACGGGATCTTGAGATATTAGTTATAGGAATCGTGGTGGTTAATAAAGTAGAAAAAATAGTATTATTTTATTTGATGCATTTTTTTTCTGTGAGGATTTTGTTATATTCATTAAGAGCAAACATTTCTTTATCCACTGCTTCTATCATGGTAAATTTAAATCCTTAATTCTTAAAAGACGTGGAAAGGGCCATTTCCACGTATTATCAAAATATTTTTATGATGTGCATTGTTGCATTGATTTCTTTGGAATTGTAATGGTTTGTCATATAATCAATACTTAGGACTTAAAACAAGGAACTAACATAATTGTGAAATACATGCAGTTTTTTAAGGAACAAAAGCAATTAAGAAAAAAATTAACCCAAAGTTTTGGGTGCATAGAGCCATTTTCCCAGAGAATTCCATGATAATTTTGAGGTCCTAAGGGGGCAGGATAAACATATAATTGCCTTCTTCTGACAAGCACTTTGCTACTTAAGCAATATTTTATCTTTCTTTTTGATTGCCTAACGATTAAATCGTTAAATATAAAGCAGCGACTGATTTCCAGACAGAACGTACAGTTCTTTTTTTTAACATAAATTTTCCATGTTAAATATACATACACATGTATGTGTGGTACACATATATATAGTTATACAAGCACATAATCACAAATGTATTTGTATAATGGACACTTGTCAGAACATCTGGATTTCATTCAGGTTTTATTCCAAATTAATGGTGTGGCTTTAGACAAAACACTTGACCTTTGTAGTATTCACTTTCTTTGTAAAATGAAATGTTTTTTTTTTTTTTATTTGAGAGAGAGAGTGAGAGAGAGAAAGAGCACAAGAGGGGGGAGCGGGAGAGGGAGAAGCAGACTCCCTGCTGAGCAGGGAGCCCGATGCGGGACTCGATCCCGGGACTCCAGGATCATGACCTGAGCCGAAGGCAGTCGCTTAACCAACTGAGCCACCCAGGCGCCCCAAAATGTTTTAAGACTAGTAGATATAGAACCCCCTTTAAGCTCTGACTACCTATGACTTTATGCCATTAACAAGCATGCATTATAGATATATGTGTAGAAAGAGAAACTTTTTGGATCTTGAGAAAAATTTGATGGTCATAGAAATTGTTTCTTTCCATATTAGAAAAAAAGAAATACCGTTGATAGCTTTCCATTATTACTGGCACATTCTCTTCCTTGCAACTATATTAACTACATGATGCCACTTGTTTCATTCTTTTAAAAAATTGTGGATGTCTTACATATCAACAAATGATTCTTTATCTAATTATATTATTTTAAAAATCTCAGCACAAAAAATATAAAAGAAGAGAACATAGATTCCTTTGGAGACATAATATTTCTATCATGTAAATCCTTATGTAGGGCCATATAATCTTCCCTTTTGTAAATCAAAACAAAAAGTGGTGGTATTGATAGGTATCCCCCCAATATTGCTTTTTAAAAGTAATTTTTCATTTCTTAGCTAAGTTTTCATGGTTAGTATTTTAAATCTACTTATAAGTATAAATATAGCTTTACTATATTTAAGTGGAAATGAAAGAGAATTAGTTTGTTTTTGATATGTTGGTTTGTTTTGAATAGTCTTTAAAAAGAATGTTTAGAGAACTGTTCAAAGCATAAGCCCAGAATAAAAAGTTGATGTGGTTAAATGATATGCTCTTCAAAAAGGTATCTGTTATCATATTCTTACTTTTAGCGTGCTCACAGGTAATTCAGCTTTTAAAAGTATATTACTCAGCAGGTAGAAAAACTTATAAGACATTTTTTTGCTGGACATAATATGCATTTTTAAAAGCAGTAGGATTCATTTTTCAAGTTTATACTTAAGAGGGAAAGCAGAATTAACACATAAAGAAAATTTAAAAAATAAGAATCATCAAGAGAAGTATATAGTAAGCATATATATATGTATAATATATATGTAGAATTTACATATATGTAAAATATATATATATACATGTATTATGCGCATGTATAAAAGAGCAGTAATCCACCATAACTAAAATGCCCAAGACAATTTTAAATGTTCCATATGAACAAATGGCCTTGATTTGTGATGTTCATAATTTATGTTATCCTACCTTATTCTTTGTT